ACAATAGAAGTTGAAAAATAAAAGAAATACATAGCCACAATTTTTTTTTACAAACATTCAATGTGTGAATTTTTACTGCATACGTAAAAATCACAAAAATTCGCCAATTATTTTAAGCTAAAAAATAATATATCCTAGACAGGTAAACCGTCTCCGCTCAGAATCGTTTTTCGTATACAATGATATTATAATATCATTGGATTCAAATTTAATTCCACCCATTACAGTATTACCCACYTGTAACCTACTGTACAGCAGAGCGATAACTACTTTCCCGCTTTTTTTTAATTTAATAAGTATAACTATGTGTATTCAATTGTATTATAATGTGCCTTCTTAAATATTATTGTACTTATCATATAAAAAAATGTATTATAATTTTGTATTATCAGTTACAGTTATTTTATAAATTATCTAAGAATTATCCAGATAACTATTTAATTATCTTTACCTAACATAGTTACACTGTTAATAATAGACTTACCTTATATGGTTGCATTCTACCACTTATACTATGAACAACAATAAATAGCTTCATCAGTAGGTACACACACGTTTAGGTATGTGTAACCATTAAYCAACTAAAATTGGGGAATATCTACAGCTCAACAATAACAAGTACATGATAATATGTACAAACAGTTGAAGAGCAAAATTTTGCCAAAACTATGTTCACGTGATTATACTTATACACKGCTAGGGGTTAAAGTGGAGGGGGGCGCAGGAGGACTCAGTCCCCTTACCTCTGACGGCGGTTAAAAAGCGTCCCCTTTAACAAATTAGGATTTTATACATTAGACATTATACATAAAATTATATATGGAACGCTTAWAAYTWTWTGGARACATTAGTCCCCTCTGGAATTTTTTCCCACTTTAACCTCTGTATACACCTGCAGCAATAGTAGACACTATATAGACATTCGCAATTAAAGGTTAGACGCCTTAAAGAGTAATTTTATAATTATTGCTGACATTGCTTGAAGCACAGTATGTATATAATACGGTAAGGTAATTTCGATATAAAGATGTTATGTTAATATCACAGCTAAAATATAATATTGTGCATATCTTAATCCGAGGTTAATTGGTTAATATCATATAACACGATTGGTTGGGTGTACTTTCTAAAAGTGATCTTTAAGGTTGCCAAATATCCAATACAAAAAATAATTTAGTTGTAATGAGTTGTATTTTGCAACTAAATTCTAGTGGCTAAATTTCGTTGTATTAAATAAGAACATGCACTGACAACTGCCGATATTTACCATTTATTTCAATCATACCTACAACTAAACGAGTGTATATTACCTATTGGCTATTAATTATTAATATCAACTTATTATACATTAAATTATAGGCTATAATAGGTAAATCATATTATCAGATAGGTATTTTATATCTTCGAATATAATTTATTAAATAAAATTATTACTATTTTTATTATTGTTATAATAATTTATTTTACTAGCTGAATATTATTAAAACTTATCTATAAATAAATAACCAAATATAAATATTGAGTGATCAGTGATGTCATTACAACACTATGATATATTCAAATGTTCTGAAAAGTATAAATCAACACTTCTGACGTATAAAAGAATCATTACTTATTGATCAATGACAAATATTATTTATTTTTAGTCGATATAGTATGGTTACGCAATAGTTTATAAGGTGTATTGTTAAATGCCTAAATCTCAACCTAGAATTTAAAAAAACGGTATTAGGAAGAATTAAAAGGTTATAAAATATACATCATGAATGTACATAAAAAATAGATAGATGGAATTAATTGAATAAAATATGTATAGTGTAATACATATTTTATTCAATTAATTCCATCTATCTATTTTTTAAATTTAATATTGTAGAAGTGTTATGATTAAACCATTTATAAATAATTTATACATTTATATATTATAAAAATTATAGCAATGCCATTATAGCAAATTTAATCTAAAATAATGTTTCACCATTTCATACGTAGATTTTTATCCAACAAATGTTTTAAAAAATTAGTTTAAATTTGTGATGAAAGAAATAAACCAAGATGCTCTTGGGTAGTAATAATGAATAACTAATAACGAGTAATAAGCAACAGCTTATTTTCTGTGTAGCCAATGGCAACTACTAACCAGAAATAAACGAATAACCGGTTATATTTTTAATATTATTTTACTTAAGTCTGATACATTTTTATTCGAATTTTGGTTTTACGTTATTATTATACGCAATAATATATAATCAGTTTCCCAAAAATATGTGCATTTAAGTAGCAAACAATAAAATGTATATATCATTTTCTTTTATAAAAAAAAAAACACGGCAATACGTGGAAGATAATAAATGGAAATCTAATATATATAAATATTAAATACAAACAAATATTCGTTTTTTTGTGAGCCAAACATGAGAAGTCTGGGTTGAAAAAYGAAGCTATAAACATTCCCCGAGTCTCAAGGCACTCTTTCTGAGCACCAAATTGGATGCCATTTAATTTAGTTTAAAAGTTAATGTATAATACAATAATAGTTAGATAATATTATATGGTATTTTGTTTTGATTTTTTTTAATTTGCGCTATGAATTTAGTACTTGATTTAAAATATCATAAAAAATCAGTTCAAGTTTGTCCAAATAATTTAATTTGAATATTGAATATTGTATATAACAAACTAAATTACAAATACAAAAATGTTGGAAGCTTTGTTATTATTTAAATATGAAAAACACTTAGGCATACCTAAAAGAGTTATGTCAAATGTTGTCAAACATCGTTTTAGTGGTGTTTCGATTGCTTGYGTCCCGATGTCCAATACTTTTGTACGGCCCATTTTTTCAGAAAAGCCACTGAACACATGGCTTAATATTTTGTGCCTTGAACCTGGCATGATGAATAGACTTGTTAATCTCTGAAAAATAAAAAAATAATAATTTAGTATGACGCTTAGAAGCTATTGTAAATGTTTGTATATTATTAAATATTTATTAATTATGAGATTTAAAAAGGGGGAAAGTGTAGACTGTAGATAACCATTATGCTGTACAGTAGGAAATTATCTATTGTATATCTCATCATTGAATTTAATTTATTTCTCTATAACAGATGTGTTAAATTTGATTCCAATGTTAAGTCATTACAGATGGTTTGTCAGCCAATAAATTATTATATGAATATATTAGTATTCATTAATATAGTGCCTAATTCATTTTACTATTCATAGCAATACTGAATACAATATAAATAGGTGATTGACTGATAGCATAAAATAATCTTAAGTGTACATGAATAATATTTTTAAAC